CAGCTTGCTGCACCCTGTTATGTGTGAGGCCAAGCAGGTGCTGAGGGACAGCAGGCGAGAACAAGCTCATGCGTAGGCCGCGACATCTCACAAACACTTGGGAGCCTTTCCCTCAGTCCCTATGAGCACCTGCCAGCTACTCCAGCCTTGGAGAGCTTGTTGCATGCAAGGGGAGCAGCTCAAAGTGTCAGGCAGCCCACACAGCTAGGTCTGCCTACACCGAGGGCCTGGATTTGCTCTCATGCTTGGGGCTCTCCCAGAAAGAGGGGAAAGAGACAGACACACCACCACCGGGAAGCACTGCACACACAGGATGCAAACAAACTCTGGACCTCAGCGGCTCTGCTGTAAATTCCACAGGCGAGGACCCAAGTGTCAGAGCAGTCCACCCCACCATGTGGAGTCTCAACCATGCCCATAAGGATGGACAGAAGACAGAAAATGAACAAATCCAAAAACTAGTCATGGAGTCAAAGAAAAAGGAGTCAAAGTCACTAAAGCAAGCCCTCTCACAGACGTCTGCTTTGTCTTCTTAATAACGCAAGCCCTTCTCCCTTACACATACGAGACATACATGGGAAATTTGTTTCTATCATCCTGGAATAGCATGATACAAAGACCTAACTCATCATTTGGGGAAATAATCTATGTTGTGACAGAAAAGGGGACAGAGGTCTTTGCTGAGTCATTCAGACCTCCTGAGACCTTGCCCCACAGAGCCAGCAGCAGCCGGTGTCTGCCCCTAAAGGAAGGGCAGGTCTCTAGGCCAGCATGAGGACAGGGAGACAATGACAGACAGTGGAGAAAGCCCTCCCACCCCGCGGAGCGCATGCCACAGCCCTCTGCGTTACTGTGAGAGCGCATCGCACCCCCAGCGCTGCTGGCCTCCGCCGGAGCTGTGCGGTCCTCTTCACATGCACAGCACCGCTTGCCTAAAATCCGAAGGCCCAGGTGTGTGCAAAGGGTCACACACAGCACAGGCCAGGGCCAGGGCATCCCAGGTACAAACACGCGGGACCACTGTGAAGAACAAGCATGCTGATGTTACCTTCAAGCAACTGTTCCAACCACAGGGCAGTCTACTTTCTAAATTGTACAGTAACAATTTCTTTACAAAATAAAATCAAATAAAACAAGTCAGTGTTTACTTTGGACTGTTATTTCAAAAACTATGTGACAGCACTGAAAAAATAGAAAAACTCTGGCTTCCACATAAAAAACAATAAAGCAAGGACATCACCAGTTAGCAGAAGGTGAGGGCAAGGACACTTAACTTTATGGCTTATTTGCACAACCAAGGACCTACAGACAAGCCCTACAAATTCAGTTCTTAGAGAAAAGAAACAAAGCTGACAAGAACAGTGAATACGAATTTTACAGTATTCCAGAGGCAGCTTCAAAGAATGTCTCCCTCCTTTCAGGAATTTAAAAAAATAATATAAGCAACGTTCAAGAGTTTCATTTTAAAGTGCATCTACTTGATTTCAGAAATATTCCTTCACATTCATAGAACAGCTTCTCCTCAGAAGAAACCCAGTTTCACTGGAAAAGATTAGTACACCTCACAGGAGGAGTGTAACCGTGGATACAGACATCCTGGGGTAGATTACAGATGCACCTAAGGTTTCATGTGTGAAATGACCCCACTGTGGTCATTTATAGGGAGTAAGCAAGGGGTACTTAGTGATTTGTGGAACTTTTTAGTAAGATAAAGATTTACTGTTGTCGCCCCAACGAGTAAATCCATAAAACCTTTTACAATTGTTTTAATTTTGAAAAGGAACATTGTGAAACTGACCTTTGGTAACTAGAAACCTCAAGGACCCTGATGACCTTTCCCTTCTCCAAACTTTTACTTCCCTCTCTCCTAAGAGGCAGTGGGAAGACAGCAGCGCTGAGGGGCCCAGACAGGAAAGGGCAGGGGACAGGAGACAATGCATATGAGCAGCGAGCTGGGCGCTGTGGCTATGGAGGCTCAGCCAGGGCCAGGCTGGGAGGGCCTGGGCTTCTCCCCGGATTAGCGAACCCCTACGTCCTCCTGCACCTACAGGCAACTCTGGGTTTCTGTCACCTGGAGACATACAGTAGGGATTTATTGGGCACCTAACATAATTATGGAGTAAAGTGATTTTTCTCATAGCGGAAAAGGACAATTAATTAATTTCTGAGCACAAAGCTTTAGGAGTTTAGACAAGGCAGAGCAGAGCGTGACTTGAGGCCAGGACAGCCGGGGCGCAGGGACTACAGCGGGGCCTGGCCGGCACCGCCCCAGCTTCTTCCAAGCACAGCACTCACGTCCAAGCTTCTAGCTCCCACTCTTCAGCTCTTCCAGAGGCGGCTCTGGCTTCCTGGCGCCTGAAGCATCCAGGAGAAATCTCCACCGTGAGAGAACACAGCTCTACTACTGGAAGCCCCAGGCAGCAGCCTCCTGGAAGCAGACTGTGCTGGCTGCTCCAGCACGACATCCATGGCAGACTGAGAAGAAGCTGTGACTAGAGCGGCTGGGGATGTGGGGGCGCTGCCTGGCTCAGCACAGACTATTACAGTGTCAGAGATAAGGATAGCGATGGGCTGGCACCCCTACCCTGCCCGCTGTCCTCATGTGCACAGATATCCTGGAAAGAAGTCGAGCGTCACGGTCTCAAGCAACTGTGTGAGACTCTCCTCTCAGAGAGCGGTGTCTCATACTATTCACCAGGATTACTCTCGGCATTAAAAGAGATTTTCAATTTCTTCATTGATTAACAGACAAAATGGAGTCTGTGTCACAATTATGATGCCATTTTCAAGGAAGAAAGGACATGGTCCAATTTCTCATGAATATAGGCGAGAAGACATTGCTGAAATGGAACAGGAGATAGTCCAAGTGTGGACTAATCTCAGTCTAAAACATGGCTTCCATGTCAAGTCTGTGTATTGGCTGTGAAACTCTGGCTTGAGATCTTTGGAGAGAGGTCAACCCAACTTGAAGACCTTTTACTTCAGCAAGTTCTGAAGAGGAAGAGCCCATCCAAATGCCAGAACCACTCTCTAAGGGAACACTCTGCAAAAGGAATTAAGAGCAAAATGTGGAGAATCAACCTAGCACACTGGCGACGCACACAGAGGGGAGACAGTGAACCCAAGGGTGGGTCGCCTGCTCCCCGCACCTGGACATCTGAGTGGGGTGTAAGTGCCCCCCAGCTCTCACAGGACAGATACCTCAGTGGCCGCATTCATTTGGCACTAATAATACATACTGTTAGTTCCAAGAAAACCACACCACTTACTATTTTTATAGCCACACACATAATGTGATCGATTTCTAAAACACTTTCCTCTACACAGATTGGGACGCTGAGCTCTGTTTATTTGGACTCCTCTCTGCTTGTTCACAGATGAGGAATCTAAGCTGAAAAGTTCACACAATAATCACTACCTGCAGTTCCTAAATCCCTCCGTCTCCAACAACTGCAAGTGTTTTTTATAACCCTTTGGAGGCAAACTGGACTTGACCTCCACACCGTAGTGGAGCTGCTATATAATAGACATGGCATGCTATTGTAAATCAGGAAAATCCTGAATTACAAAACTGGGGCCCTTAAAGCGCCTGCAAGCAGGTGCAGGGGCTGGGGATTCAATGCTTGGACCTGCTGTACCAGCCCTGCCCCCAGAGTGCGCTGAGATGGTAACTGAGACTGGGTGTGGTGACATGTGCCTTTAATCCCAGCTCTTGGGAGGCTGTAAACAGGCAGATCACTAGAGTCTGATCTAGATGTGAGACCCTGAACATCCTATAGACCTTTCCCTGAAATACAAAAGAAAAAAAAAAAAAAAAAAAAAAAAAAAAAAAAAAAAAAAAAAAAAACACCCAAAATTTCAAAAAAAAAAAAAAAAAAAAAAAAAAAAAAAAAAAAAAAACACCCAAAACTGTGGCCTTGCAGCCTGTCTCAGGTACTCTTTTCTCATCGCTGGGACAAACACTCAACACCCAAAATGAAGGAAGGAAAGGTTTATTTAGCTGCCAGTTACTGGAGGTTTCATTCCACATTCAGCTGGCTCCAAGGCAGAGCAGCACATGGTAGAGAGCAACCTTTCATGGCAGTGACAAAAAGCAGAGAGCAAAGGGGAGTGGCAGCAACAATGGCTACAGAGAGCAAGTCTCCCTTAAATTGCATTCAGATGATCTGGCCAAGGCTGGGTGTAGTACTCATACCCATAATCCTGGCAGCACTCACACCCATAATCCCAGTGGACCATGAGACAATCATGAACTCTAGAAGTCCACCCCATGACCACATGAGGCTTTGGGGGGACAACTAGACACAAACCATAACAGAGAGCAATGGAGGCAAGGGGCCAGGCTATTGAAGGGCACTTCAAGGCACACTCTCTTCTGCTCCTATTTCATAATTCAGAAAATAAGATTGGACTAGAGGGCCTCTCAAGAACTTGACGGTAATTAAATCCTGGGATTTGACCTTGTTTCTAGGATTTTAAGTTAATATACTGAAATATAACAAATTACATTGAACTTTGAATTATGCTGAATTTCTATTAAAATATAGGTATTTAGCTTTGGGATTATGTTAGCCAACTTTCTGTTTCTATAACAAAGTGCCTGATAGAATTAACTTACACAGTATGAACACATTTATTTGGGCTCCTAATGTTGGGCTTCCAGCCCAAGCCTGGGCAGGCGCACCGCCTTCGAGCCCTGAGCATGCGCAGACGTCAACAGTGGCATGCGTGGCAGCACCAACTGCTCGCCACGGGGCAGGAAGCAGAGGGGAGATCGGGGCCCAGGTCCCACAGCCCTTCTGCCACAAGCTGGGGGACAGAGGACCTCCACAGGTTACCACTAAAGGCTCCACCACTGCCACACAGCGCCACCTGGGGGACACAGACGTGAAAACAAGAGCCCTGGGAAGCACTCAAGATCCAAACAGCACACAAGTCCACCTAACCAGCATGGATCATAGATGTACCCTCGGCAACGTAAGGTTACACAGGCTCAGTACCTGCTCCTCCCAGCACAGAAGAAATCCCTTCCACGATGGTCTTATGGATGTCGGCGTGGGACAGGATGAATGCAAGTGTCCAAAAGGTAACCTTGAAAAGAAAAACGACATCAAAATTACAAACATCTTTCAAGAGAACCAAAAGCAGAATTTGTATTAGCTATAAACAGTGTAAGAGACTCAAGGGCAGTGTTTAAACTTTGTACCCTACTCAGGAGCATCTCTGGGGGGGCCTGCCCCTTAGCTCAGCTCTTTAAGTGGCTGCTTCAACAAAGTAGTCAGGCTCAGGTTGCTGTGGTTCATCCCCACAACTCAAACCAGCCAAACCTGTCCTGAAGGCATTCGGAGCAAAAAATTTAAATAAATAAATAAATAAAAAATCAAGAGCATCTCTGAAGACAACTACAATTTATTAGTTACAAATGTTCCATATTTCTAAGAGGCCAAATTTATAATTCTATTGTTACTATAAGTTAACTGTTTATATAGATTAAACTATGCAAAATAGGAAGATTTTAACAAGCAACAAAATACTATATAAACATTCACTAAATATTCAGAAATAACAAATTCTGACATTTAAGAATGTGAACCTCAGTAGGTGTGACAGTGTACTCCTATAATCTCAGCACTCTAGTAGGCTGAGGGAGGAGGATGCCAAGTTCAAGCCAAGCCTGAACAATTTAGCCAGATTTTATCTGAAAAACTAAAACAGGGGGCAATGCTAGGAATGTAACTCAGTGCCTAGGCCCTGGGTTCAATCCCCACTACTGCCTCCTCAAAAAAAATTAATCTAAAAACAAAAGCATTAATTTAAAATACAAATGAGTCACTAAGTATCACTTCCTGCAAATGAAACATAGTTGTTTTAAATAAAGTCACTAAACTGCACTTAAAATCCCACAGGCTAAATTATGAGACCCACTCATGAAACAGAGCTCGCTCCCCCTTGGCCCACTGCATGCTGTGGCACTGGGAATTCCGGTGGGTCCTCTCCCCTGACCTTGCTAAATGGCTTCATCTCTTTCCTCAATGAAGGATTACAATGGAACACTCTGTACTCCCGCATCTTGAACATTAACTCCCTACTGAGGTAGCTGGCTTTGCTTCTAAGGTTCACAATAAAGGAAATCTGTATAACATCATTAAAAGACACCAAGGGAAAGTTTCCCTTTCATTTTTTTCTGTAAACATTTATTATGAAATCGATCCTGAAATGAGCCCTGTGATGTTTTGTGTAAATGAAGTTGTTCTGCTTCTTTCTGTCTTGTTTTGTGAAGAACACGCTAGCCTACACCTCAACACAATTCCACGGCTCCCCTCTGTGGTGGAGAAAGGAAGGGCATCTGCCTGAAGGAAAGCACCCTGGGATGTTAAAGCCACTGGGTGAGGAAGTACACAGTCCTGGTCACATAAGCAAGACAGGGGAGCTGTGTCCTTCCTTGCTGCAGCTCTACCTCTTAGGAAAAAGTCGCTGTGTCCTCTCACCCATTTGCACAGATGAAGAAGCAGAGCTCAGAGAGCTTTTTTCCCTGTCTCCTCACTGTGCTCATCCTCCTCTGTGCTAAGGTTAATTAAGAACAACCCCACACCCGATTCACCTCATGTGACGAGTCGGCCTTCATGTTGGGGGGAAAGCCTATGATAACATGGAGACTTTCAATTACATGAAAGAAGAGCACAGGGCTGTACGGGCTTAATTTCCCATGTTGAGAGTCACCACAATTGAGCACTGACTGTTTCTGAGACCCACAGGGCTCTGAACTACAAATGGCTGTGCAGTGGTGCCAAGTCCCCTCCGCAAGGCTTCTCTTTTCCGAACACAGCTTCACGTCTCGATCCTGGCATTCTGGAAAGAGAGCACAACCGAATGCAGGCCCCAGCATCCTCCCCTCATGCACCAGTCGCGGACGGAGCTGCTGAGCCAGGCCAGTCTGCACCCTTCATGGCCAGCTCAATATGGATGAGGCATCTTTTGCCCGAGAACTTGCCCCTCAGGCTGGGGATGTGAGGCACACATGGCAGGACCACTGTGTGAAAGGCAAGACTGTGCTGGGAGCTGAGACAGCGTGGGGATGGCGTGGAAGTACAGAACGCTCTTGAAGCCTTGGAGCCAACTTGAGAAAGGAAGCAGATACGAAGGGTAAAATGCCGGCCTTGAGAAAGGCTGGAGAAAGGTTCTCACAAGTTCATCCCAGGAGAGGACTTCCCAAAGAATCACTTCGCAGTGACAACTGTCTCAGGACATCCACGAGGCATACCAAAACTGTGGTGGCCTTCAGGATCAACTCTCAGCCCATGGGAAACCTTGGCTCTGAGCCCTGAGGCCAGAGACCGAGGACAGAGGAGGCAGAGATGTCACCAGGGCCCCCTTATTGCTACACTGTCCCTCTGGCAGCACTTCTGTAGCTCCCTGGGCCGTGATGGTAATCACACAGGTGGTGACAGAGGTGCCACTCAGTCAAGCACCAGGAGGCTGCAGCTATCTCCGCACACTATCTGTGGGATTCCGGAAGCTGCTGTCAACTGAAACTAGGGCAATAAGAGTGCTGAGGGAAGAAAGGAAGAAAGCGGTACACGCTGAACAGCAGTGCCGTGCCAGGCACCGGCCGCCACCTGCTGTCCCCTCTAGCGCAGTCCTCGGCGCCAGCTGCTGCAGGAGAGAGCATCGGTCACCAGGCTGCCGCTCTGTAGGGCCAGGAAGAGCCGGAGATAGACTTGTGTTCATCGTCGGATGCCTGCACTCTGAAATGAAGGATTTTGGTCTCTTCGGCCCAGCGCCAGGGACACAGTCACAGCGCTGACTTCCTCTGAGTCAGACCCATGGGGCACTGTGCCGTCTGTCCCCTCTGGGGGAGCCTCCCTGAGGAAGCTTGGAAGTTAGTCCCCACAGAAGTGGCTGTCTTGCTGCTGCCCTGGGAGCTGCTGCTTTCCAGTACTGCCACGACCTCACCAGTTTGCAGGAAAATTACTTCAGGAAGGATCGGAGAATTGCATGGGAGGAGCACAAGGCAGAGAAAGGGATCAGATGCTCTGTTCTCGTCACGCACGTGAGATTTATTGTCCCACGGATGACACACACTGGGGAAAAGAGGCCAAAACTTTGACTCCGCTCTTTACCTAATAAATTTTACAACAGGTTACAGGAAACTAAGATATTAGGACTTTAGAAAGGGGAATGAGAAGTAAATAATCCTTAAAATTTCTATTTCTGTTAGAAGAAAAAGAGAAGAAGGCCACCCTTATCACGAGAGGTAGATGAATGCTCTTGCTGGGTAAATAACTAATATGTAAGAAGGTCACCCTCTACCTTGACATGGAGCACCTAAGGCAAATGTGAGAGGCTTCTGACCCCGGGAACTGGTATGAGCAGAACAGAAGGGGCAGTAAATCCGTGGCTCTCAGGGAGCTCGGGCAGCTTTAAAAAGTTTTATCCAGGCTTAGTGGTGTGGACCTGTGATCGCGCCTGTGATCCCACCAGGCGGGGAGGCTGAGGAGGAGGGGGCAGATTTGAGCCCAGGCTGTGCAACTCAGAAACACCCTGTCTCAAAAAAGGAGGAGGAGGATGTGGTTCAGTGCGAAAAGCTCAAGTGTTGGCAAAGCAAAGGGGAATAGGGAGACGGGGTGGGGCAAGGGAGGCATTGGGAGGGGAAAGGAAAGGGAGCTGGAAAAGGCGTCTGCTGTTCCAGGTGCACAGCATGTCACAGGATCTTCGGCCCCTCTCGGGGAAGACAAGACCAAGAGGCCCTGGGACCTGACTGCTATGTACACAGAATGGCTCACGGTCACTGGCCGCCTGCGGGGCTCACCTGCAGCACCCTCTCTTCAGAGCAAGGGAGCCACACAGATCAGCAAGTCCCCGGGCCCAGGCCTATGATGGCAGCTTCGTGTCTGTTCTCCTTGTTACCTATCAGGACATGAGTAACTAAGTCACCACATGACCCTGCACAGTGCCAGCTGGGCTGTCTGGCTCTAAGCTGGACTCTGGTCAGAAATGCCCATCCCCTACTTCTTAACTGATCACAAGCAGGAGCTGAGCCTTTAGCCAGGCTGCAGCAGTAACACCTAGTGCCCTGCCCACACAGGGAAGGTCCCCTCAACAGGACAGCGCCAGCCAGTGCCCAGGCCAGCACCTCCCCGCCTGGTGCTGCCCCGCAGAGCTGGGACATCCTCTGCCTCCTGCGTGACCCAGGCAGACGCCAGCGGGCATCCTGCTTTGTTTTTTATGTCATAACTGAATCCACTGAAGTTTTTTCTTCCTCTGTAATAGATGAAGGGGGGACGAAGAAAACACAAGGAAGCATAACAGATACAAACACACACTCTACTTCCATGCACGACCGTATACTTACAGGAACGGCATTCGACAGAGAGGCCCACAGCATGAGGAGCGCACAGCTCGCGCTGTGCCCCGCTGCGACCCCTTCGACCACATCCAGCACAGCCTGCATTAAGGTCTGTTTAAAAGAAATAAATACAGTCAAACTGTGGCTATAGGTCAAAGTACTAAATGAGATGGTGTACCCTCCTTTCATCCCAGAGCAGAGCACGGGTGCTCCGGCTGCCGGTGGAAGACAGCAGACCTGGGATCACACTGCCAGCAGCAAGTGGCCGCACGTCCAGGGTATCCCTGGACACACAAATGGTGTCTGAACAAACTCTTTTTTCAGCAAACACTCATCCTAACTACCATACTTCCCTACTGTCTTCACACATGCTTTAACAAAAGAAGCTGAGGAATACTTACCATAGAATCAGCCCTTTCGGGTTTGTAGGCTTTTATATCTGGAATGCTTTCCTCAAATAGCGCTAGGAGCCACCTCTTGGATTTTGACCAGTTTCTGTGAGAGAAAAGAAAAGGATGTGCAGAAGTAACCTCAAAGTATGTAGGGAAAAGCAAGCCAAGGCATCAAGGGGGAGTGTGCTGAGTCAGAATTCCATCCCACACCTTGTCTCCATTTCCAGGCAGAATTTTCTGGAGGTCTCCCTCTAGAACTCAGTCCAGAGAGACAGTTAATGAGTCAAGGCCACCACATGTGAATGTCTTCTGCGAGCAAACACCTGGGCTCCTAGAGGACGGGCACACAGGTCCAAGAACACAGGCGACACCGCCCCAGTTTCCTTTTGCTGTGGGTGCTGTCAGTTGAGAAAGATGAAAGCGTAGCACAGGCACCAGCTGCTACACGAAGCCAGGGCAAGCGGCTCTCAGCTTCTAGTGCTCTAAGCAGTGTCAACCACAAGCTCAGATCCTAGGACCTATGGTGTGCCATGAGAGGGTCTCCAGGCACTGATTACAGATAATGATGAAGGCTGCATGCATACCAGGAGCCTTGGAAGAGACCCTGGCAGGGCTGGGCTTTGCCCTGGGCACCCTGCAGGAACACACAGTGAAACTGGCAGCGGGCTGCTGGGTGGTCACCTCTCCCCAGCACCACCACTTCCCCTCAGGCCTCAGGCTTCCTGACCGGGAGCTACAAGGCCTGGATTTCTGTTGTTCGGCAACCATATATGCTGAATGGGCTGACATATACAGCAACCTCCATGAGATGACAACATCATGCTACTATTGCATTTGAGTCATTTCACAAGTGTTCATCAGGGCCAGCTGTGGAATCACACCTGGCTGCACCTGCCTTTGCCTCAGCGAGAACAGGCTGGGTGCTCGCTCATGACGGAGCAGGACCCAGCCCTGCCAGCTCTGGTTGGGGCAAAGACCAGGGAGTAAGTTGTTTCATTTGCTTCATGAGAAGCAGAAAGAGGAGCCAGCATGCCTCTCTCCTCTAGTTCCTTCTCAGTTATATCCACATACAGAGAAAGCACAAAAGTGACAAAGATGTCTTCTCTCCCACGTGAGCTGGTGTCACATCTACCTGTGAGAGAGCTGAGTGGTGCAGACTGCTGAGGTGAGCAGGGCCAGCAGATCAATGACAGAACGGGACTCTACCTCAGTAGCCACTCTGGCATCTGGGATCCACACTCAAAACCCTCATCATAAATTTGAAAATGTTGGCAGAAGTCTTCAGTTTTCTTCTTGTATGAAAGAAACAAGGCTTTCTTAAAAAGTACATTCACTGTGACCGGATAAAGAAGATGCCTATAGAGACAGAAACACACATAGTTTAGATCTAGGCCAATGGAAAAGCACTGGGTCACATGACCACCTATGAGCAGGTAACACATGACTGCTGGGGGGGGTGTGGAGGTGTCAGTCTCAAAGTTTAATATTTGCTAATGGTAGCCAAAACAATTCAGGGAGAACCGTAATTGTGGTCTTATATATATATAGGAAGATTTAAAACTTCTTTCTAAGCAAACATAGTATATGCTGACAAATGAGTAAACAGAAATAAACTGAACAAGCTCAATAAGCATTCATTTAAAAAATACTACCAACAGCTAAGGTAATGGGCTATGCCTACAGATAGCAGCAAAAGTAATCAAAAAAGAGAGCAAAGGCAGAATTAGTCATCAAATTTCCCAATTTTCCACAGAGTCCCAAACATTCAAACTAGTGTGTCCTGAAATATAGTACTTGTCAGTAATTTTTTCTGTATGCAAGTAAAGTGATCACGTGGCCCATGTAAGCAAGTATAGAAGATATTTATCATTCCTTCCAGTCCTCCTTCCCCCAATGTTTCAAAGCTATCCAGAGAGCACTCTGCTGTCTTGCAGATACCACGCATCCTTTAGCTAATTTTAAGTTGGCGTGGTTCCGTCTGCTTCACCCCCACCAGTACCTCGAACATGACACTCATGGACAATCTGCCTTGAATCTTAATGGCTAAAACCAGTCCTTCTGCATGACAGTGTTTGCAGAAAGCTGTCCTGTCTCTTGGGACCTGCCTATTAGGACAATCCAAGGACTCAGACCCGAGGCCCACAGTGACTTGGTCAGAGCTGCCCTATTTGAACCTCTGCCACTGCCCGAGGATTCCGCTCTCTCCCGCATTCCCACCACGTCTCTCCATCCTAGTGTTCTCTACTGCATGGTAAGTACAGAAGATTCAGTGAGGCAAAGCCATGTGGGACAGACAGTCATCGGAAGGACTAAGTGAAATCGCGTGATGTGCCACAGTAACAGGGCCACTGGCTTATCTGTGTAGCATAAAACAGGATCAGAACTGCCTATTAATTAGAATTTTAAAAATTTGGAGAAATCACTTAATAACCCAGTTACTCATCAGTCTACCAGGCAATTTGTGAAGCCCGATGTGGTAGTTTTTTTTGAGTAGTAAAGGTTAAATGATAACAAAGCATTTAATTACCTTACTAAACTGATCAGGTCCATTGTCCCATGAGGGCCTAAATCTTCTAATCGTTCGTGGAATTCTTCATTCAGTTGCTCTGCAAACCGATACACGTTGAAAGCCCCCATTTTCCCTTTCATTGTAATATAGAGTTTTTCATGCAGTGTTAGAAAGACATTCTTTGGAATGGATGCTATAAACAGAGAAAACTATTTTCAGAATACACCACAGCTGCTGCACATGTCCACTGTACTGCTCCCCTGACTGGGTCAGTACCGCCTTTCCCAGCAGTCTTCTGTACAGACAATCACTGCCTGCAATTAAGTGGATAGAGACTGAACCTTAATGGTGAGATTCCGAAGTCTGGAGGGCGATTTCCTTTATGGGATGATGTAAAAGTGGGGAGCTCAGAGGGCTGCAGTCTCCAGTTCCTTTCCCTCAGAATCTGTGTCCCAGGTGTGTGGAGGCCAGGCAGTGCCTCATGCTCACAGCATTTCAGAGTTACTGTGGGTGCTCAGGACACTGTCCCCTCCAACGCCCAGCGGCCCAAAGGCCCCTGCCAGCATCTATTTATTCCTCCCCTATCTTACTCCCACCAAGAAGCCTTCCCTAACCATGAGTAACTCTGACCTCGCTATTTCCTTTATTTCAGGACTGTGTTCCTTCCATGATACTCACTTTTGGTCGGACTGCGGTGGTGGGAGCGTATATTTTTTAACTAATTTCTTTTATCTTGTTTTATTCTCTTTCAACTAACTTTTCCAAAAACATAGTTTTTAGTTTTCTATTTTCTCATTCTGTTATATGTGTAGATCCTACATACGAATTCTGTACAAATTACAAGGAATCAATGTTTGAGTCAGGCAGGACAGAGACTGCAGAGTCCTGGGTGTTGTAATATGATACGGATTCCAAATATTCTCTCAAAAAAATATCTAGTGATGAGGGAACCCCATCTTGCTCACATGTCTGCTTGAAATTTAAATTTATTCCGATGCCAATCACTGGCTCTTTGGTCTTCACACACTCATTCTTCTTTTCAGCCTAAACTCAAGAATAACAAAGTGCCAGCCTGTAATCCCAGAACTCAGAGAGGCTGAGGTAGGTTCTGAGTGTAAGCCCAGCCTTGGCAACTTAGCAAGATCCTGTCACAAAATAAAAAGAAAATTTTAAAAGGCTGGAGATGTACCTCAATGTGAAAGCCCTGGGCTCCATCCCTGGTCTCTGAAAACAAAATTAAAGAATAAAATAATGGGCTCTCATCTTTCTTTCTGGATGGATTGAGGGTGTAATTCTTACCTAAAATGACTCTTGGATTCCAATATTTCACTTCAAGTGAACTCTGTGAAACAATATTCTTTACCTGTGTGGTAGACAGGGTTTTGTACTGCTAGTTCAAAATTAACTTCTTTGGATTTCAGAAACACATTGATTCCCTCTTCTTCAGTAACAAAGGTCATTCGTTTTCCCATGGCAAAGATTGTAAATACTGGTCCATACTGCCATAAAACAGGGAATAAACACAGAGTATTAGCATTTCTGAGCAAGGGGTTTGGTTTAAGGCAGTTTTCATAAAGCCCCAAACTGAAGCTATGGCCAAACAAAAATGATAATGTCTAGTAATTAATTATAGATGTTGACAGTTTTAGACACATTAAACTGATACAAATCTACTTTGTGCTGTTCTAATAAAATTTATAAGATCCTATAAGATACTATTTACTTATATTTTCCTTTCTCATAGTGTGAAATAATTATTAGAAAATGATAACTATAAATAATAATTAGAAATCTATCAACACTGTGATCTTTGAACATTGTTTTCAACACACAGCAGGTATCTACACAACCTGTAGCTCAGTGTTGCCTAAGAAAAGAAGCGCGCCTGGCAAGATGAGGTCCTGGGTTTGATTCCCAGTACCAAAAATAAAATACAATGAAGAAAAAGAAGCAAAATTGTCAGCTCTTTTCCAGAAAGTCATTTTCATTAACTCCTAACTATATGTAGCATTTTCCTCAATTATGAGTAGATAATAAACCACATATCATCAAAAGAAACTCACCCATTCACACTTTATGACAGTCATTATAAAGATCTTAAAACACCATCTACACTCATCACTACTTCAGTCACTTCTACCCCTGCCATCCCCGATGACAAATGATTTTCCCTGTGGGATGCCACAGGCAACTGAGGGTCCCACTTTCTCACCCAAAGGAGCCAGACATCTGCACTGCTCCCCAGTCTACAGTTGTTGCTCATCAGTACTCAGGAGATGAGAGTCATTTTCATCATTATGAGTTTTGTTCAAATGAGGACTAACTTCCCATTAGTGAGTGGACTTCTGGAAGATGGGCAGGTAGAGGGCCCAAGTGTAGATGAACCGAGTTCAAACACACCGGTCAGCTGAGAAGGCTGCTGGCGCACAGCTTTAAAGTCACTTACTGCAATAGAGCCGCATAATGAAAAGCAGCCGTGTGTCAGGCTGTAAATCTGCAGCAAGTCAGAGGTGCTCTGTTTCTCTTGGTTCTCCCTGCCTTGTGCAATCTCAGTATTACAAAACAAAGGTAACCAGACACTGCAGGCTTTACAAGGGGCACTTGGTTTTTGTTTGGTTTTGAGACAGGGTCTCACTAGGTCACTAAGTTGCCAGGCTGGGTTCAAATGTGCGATCCTCCTGCCTCAGATTCCTAGAGTGCTGCGATTACAGGCATGTGCCACCATCGCTGGCTTCAATTAAATTATTGAGATAATTATAGATGAATTGGAGCAATTTTAAGACATATTCAAGACCTCATATACCCACAGCTGTTTTCCCAGTGTTACCGTTTTGTCTGTTTTTTTCCCTTGGCTGACTGCACTAGTTGGAAGCTCCAGCACTAGGCTGATAAGAGTCATGATAATGAATCTTTGTTTTCTTCATAATCATAGAGGAAGCATTTAGTCTCCTATCAGCTATCAAACTTTTGTAGATGATCATGATCAAGCTGAGAAAGCTCCTCTCTATAGTTTCCTGAAAATGTTTTATCATAAACAGTGCATTTTGTCAAAGCCTTTTCTGCACCAACTGATGACTGTGTTTTCTCTTTTCTTCAAGTAGTCTGTACAAAAGATAGCTTACACTGCTTTTCAAATCCTAAAATGGTCTTCCATCCCTGCAATGGCCTCTTCCTGGTGATCCCTTTCAAATACTGTTGAATTTTACTTACTGGTATTTCTTTCTTTTTTTAATATAAATTTTTGCATCAATTTGTTGGGGATGGTTGTCTGTAGTTTTCCCCATACTGTCTTTACATTGATATCAGCATAATACTACCATCATAAAATACACTGGAAATAACTCTCTTCTCTTTTACTTTCTGGAAGAAATTGTGTATAACCAAGTGTTAGCTCTTCTTTAAATAGTTGATATCATTCCAAAGTAATACAATGTGGGTCTAAAGAATTTTGGGGAGGGAGGTTAAATTGCACATTAAATTTTCTTAATTGTGTAGTCTACTAAAATTATCTATTTCATATTGAATAGTTGTGGCAGTTATGATTTTTTACAAACTTTTCCACTTTCTCTAAGCTGCTGAATTCATATGTGTGGGGTTATTCACAGTATTCCCTCATCATTCTGTTGCTACCTGGGAATCTACAATGACACCCCCAACGTCATGTCTAACACTGGGTCTGTGGCTTCTCTCTCTATTGGTTTTGCATGAAGTCTGGCAATGCTGCTGATCTTTTCAAATAACCAACTCTCTCTTTCATTAATTTTCTATATTTTTCCCCAAATCATTGATTTCTGTTTTTTAAATTTCTTTCCTGTTATTGCTTCAGGTTCATTTTACTCTTGAAGGGTGGTTGTTGAGAAAGAACCTCCAAAGAACCTCTGGTTACTGACCTGAGACTTTTCTAATGCAAGTACTCAGTGATTCCAGGGGACAGAACCTTGGGTGCTTTACCATTGAGCCGCACCCCCACATCATTTATTTATTTATTTATACATACAGCTTGGACTCATATTGATTCTCCTGTCTCAGCTCCCTACTGCTGGGATTACAGGTATGTGCCAGTGCACCTGGGGTTCTGGGGCCAGCATGGCATGTGGCGCTGGGGATTGAACTCAGGACTTTGTGCTTGCCAGGCAGGCATTATGCTATCAAGCTATCACCTCAGTCCCACGTTGTTTTATTTTTTGAGATAGGATCTCACTAAGTTGCCCAACCTGACCTTGAACTTGCAATTTTCTGGTCTCAGCAGTTCAAATAGCTGCAATTACAGGTGTGTGTCAACATACCTGGTTCCATTCAATGAATTTATTTATTTGTATTTCTAAGAGACCAAGTTAAAATAGAAAGACTCAAAAAAGCTGAAAGTGAGGGATAAGGAAAGATGTAATCTGCAAATCTTAAGCAAAAGAAAGTTGGAGTAACTAGAATGTTTCAACTCAAAATAAATAATGACACATGAAGCCATTGACTCCCTCTTCAGACTGGCAGGCAGGAGACCTTGGCAAGGGCTGCTGTTGTGGGGAGGTGGGAGAAACTGCCTAATTAAGCTATTTGCTGCAGGGAACTCCGCCTCACGGGGCCTGCTTGCCAGCTGATTTCCATACTCTAGTGGAAGACAGATATACCATTTCCTTCAACAAAATGTTGAAAAATTATGGTGTTTAATTGTGCCAAGATTACCACAAAAATGACACTGTTCACTATAATTTTGCAAAATGCCCAACCTTGGTCTATGCACTCTGGGACATTATGTTTCCAAATAGTGTTTCCAATGTGTCAACAGATAAATAATCTTAGAGGCACATCTGCAGCCCGGGACAGGTATAAGAAGTACACATTCAATGCAACTTCTCTAGGAAAAGTTCTACAGATTTCGTCAAAGTTTCATACTTAAGACATTGTAAACAATGCTGGACAACCTGGTGCATGCTGGCAATTACAACACTCTGGGGGATGCAGTGGAGACAGGAGGATTTTGAATTTCATCCTAGCTTGGGCAACTTCACAACTCAGCAAGACCTGTCTTGAAAGAGAAAAAGAAAGGGGTGTAGGGGAGAGAGGGGATGGACTGGGACTTTAGCTCAGTGCAAAAGCCTGTGGCTCAAACCTCAGTATGGGGGGGGGGGAGCTATAAATTGGATAAGATTGGCATAACCAAACACAGTCTGCAATTTAAACAAAGCCTTCTGTATTCAAAGCATCAGGCTTTCAACCCATGGGTTTTTGGACTTACTAACTAAAGACTGGGCCACAGCCAGCTCAAAGGTCAACTACAGTAGGGGCTGCTGTGGTGGGTAGCAGGATTTGGTTTTCCACCAGCCAGTAAAGAAAGGTCTTAGTTATTTGCTGGTTGTAGAATAGGTTCTCTCTGTTTCTTGCCCCCCCGCCCCCAAGAAGGCAATTTGTCATCAGAGCCTGCAAGTGGGGCAGGCAACAGGGCCTGCTATCCAATGGCAGTCCGATCCCGGAAGCAGCATCTCAGCACCTGTGCCATTGGATTCATCAGAAGTGAGTTCTTAGGATCTGCTGCCACCCAGGAGGAGGCGACTGTAGGAGCAATGGAGAGCAGCAGGGGGGAGCTGCTGTGGGTTATCTTAGAAATCTGACTACCACATATTTATTAATCTGGAAACCTGTAAGTAATATCCACGCATCTTACAAAGAGAAAAAGAGTTAGGAGTTCCAATAGTACTAAGGTGAAGAGTTCAGCATTTTGGACACAAACATAGTATAAATGGTATGATACATCTGCTTATAAAAGATGGAATACAAAAATCTATAAATGAATTTGCTTGTATGTGGTTCACAAAATAAAAAAGAATATTATGGAATGAATCTCTGTGCTACCAAGTTTAGGGAAGAGGGCTGAGAATGGAGTGAGAGAAAGGTCAGAGATTTTTCACTTACACTGCCATAGAAACACTTTCTGAATATACCAATTCATAATCCATTCAAAGATTAATAACAACAAGGAAAACTTCTGTGGGGGTTATCAAAATTCTCTTTTCTCTCCCTTCTCTGGGGTCAGAAGATGCTGAGGGTGACAGCTAATGTCTGAATTTTAGGAGTCATTTCTTGAAGGTTCACAGTACCATAAACTGTATCTAACACACTGGCCATTTAGATGTGATTTTCCATCAAGACTATTAGGACTTTAGACTATAGACTATAGCAGCTATTGTAAAAAAAGCAGAACAAACTGCATGCACCTACCCTGAACCCGGTTCACATGTTGAGACTGTTGATGTCACACACACACACACACACACACACACACACGGTATGAACACATTATTTACACAGCAGGGTTCTGCTGGGACTAGGGTGGCTGGCCTCCAGCCTTGATCTGAAAATGGCCTGAGGAAACAACTGCTCTGGAGTTTTATTAGGGTTGGGGGTAGATCCATGGACCCATTCCTGCTTGAAGGCTGGGGCTTCTGCTGTTTTACGTCTTCCCTGGCACCCACGGCAGGAGTGCCCACCTTTTCCTTTCTTTCTT